GGACCACTATCGTCAAATACGATTGACAATTAGCATACAGTTTGGATTGGCGGTATGGTTCCGTTCTGGGCGAGAACTCCCTGCGCATCCATGCAGCCTATAGCATGGATAAGAGCACCAATAACCCCCCCTTAGGGTACACAGAACAGAACCAACATGAATGTATACAGATATCATTAATTCAAGATTTTAAAGTACAACATAATTCGAGAATTCATTCTGATGCAACGGGAATCAGAAAGCCAAATCCTAACGGGGCGAGAGGAGGAGCTGGGGAGGGAGGTGGGTAATTCGCTCATGAGAAACGCGATAGCTGCTGAAAATACTGAAGGAGCTTACACATGTACACAGTGATAGGCGGCGTATTCCTATAGGTAGACGTGGATCAGCTGAGAGTCAGCTGATGCGAGCTTGACTAGCGTGACCTGCCAGAACTGACGCTACGCTTGATTTATATGAACGTCTTTGAATTTAAAATCCTTTCAAAATGTACTTCATTACATTCAGATTCTAATTACCAATCAACTGGATTCAAATTCTATTTAGATTCAGGAATATAAAAAGCATTTTCAATTCAGTTCTGAATTACACCCAATCCTGGTACACGTAATGTTACATCTCTAGAGCTTTACTTATTTATTAATTTTTCTTCTGAAGTTTTGTTCATTAAATCTTCCTAGGTGATTCTCAATGGAAAAGGACAAAGAGAGAGGGACTAGATTTACATCTCAAGGAAGTGGCTTTATTTTAACCATCATTAATCCCTGTTCATGCATCACTTTGTAGAAGCCACCCAAGAGACTCATGGGATATTACCACTGTCACACTCGAACAGTAAAATAAACAAGCCCTGAGTTGCACACGTTTCCAGAAATCCATCAGCACACCCCATAAATACGACTGATATGAAACCCAGATTTCTTTTGGGGCTTGAAAAACAATGTCATTCATCAATTACGTGACAACATAACCGGTTAAATAAATCTCAAAAATCTCGGCCGAGGCAATTCCACAAATCATTTACAATGCGAAGCTCGATCTTAATGCTGGACAATAAATGTATTGACATCTGCATTTTATGACTGACCTAAAAAAAAAAAAAAAAACACTCGATAAATGGATGTTCTACCTTCCTCGCCGGGTTCCCATGCCGGAATGAGCGAGTAGAAAAGTTTGGGAGATGTACGAAGTGAGGAATGGAGCGTCTCCGCAGAAACATGAATCACGCTGCATCATTCACCAACAAACAAATGTCATCTCTCCACCCAACCCGGCAGCTTCATCATGCTAAAGCTCCTGACAGCAAAGGAACATAAAATGAGCGGCCCAATTCGTCTCCCCAAGGCAACATCACTCCATCATTCCTCTACTACTTTTTTTTTTTCTCCCTCCATCAAGTACCTGGAAGAGAGCGAAGATAAAGGGAAAAAAAATCCTTCGTTCACCTCAGGGAATAGGGGCAGGAGCCTGAAGGTGCGAATGCGATGAAGGCTTTGTTTATATTCGGTTGTTAACAAGACAAACATTGGCGCTGTTTACGGCAACTTATTATTCTTACTTCCTGTGTCATTATTTGGTTTGACACTGGATCTGGAATAATCTAAATATAGTTCTGCATGTTCATTTTCAACACCATTTCTCCTACTCATGATCCGATTCACACGTACACGTAACAGCGCAAAAGAAAGTGCTGTCTAAATGTACTCTCCTTCATGTTGTTCCAAACCTGTATGACTGACTTTTGTGGAATTTAAGAAAATAAAATATTTTTGAATAAGATATATTGAAGAATACTGCTAATGTTTATTTTACAGCCATGCTCCCAATGTACAAACTATGTACTTATTATAGAAATTGCAATAACTATGTAATAACTAGATACTAACCCTGAACCTACTAACCTTAACCCATATAGTTACCTTATATTACCCAGTGTTTTCTTAGGTAAGTACACTGTAAGTGCACGTACTGTAAAATAAAGTGCAATCCTCTATACAATGAAAGTCAATGGGGTCCAAACAGCATATGAACCAACAACAAAAAAAAATTGTTTCAATAGTTTGAAGTTTGCTAAGATTTTTTTTATGGATTTGAAAGAAGTATCTTATGACAACCAAAGCTGCATTTATTTGATAAAAAAGAAAAAAAACAGTAATAATGTGAAATATTATTACTATTTAAAATAGCTGATTTCTATTTAAATATATGTTACTTTTTTTTCTTTCTGTGATTGCATTTTGGTGATTTGGTGCTCAAGAAACATTTCTTATTATTATCAATATTATGTTGAAAACAGTTGTGCTGCTTAATATTTTTGTGGAAACCATGATACTTTTTTTTTTAAGGATTCTTTGATGAACAGAAAGTTCAAAGGAACAACATTGATTTGAAATAGAAATATTTTATAACAAAATAAAAGTCTTTACTGTCACTGTTTTGATCAATTTAAGGCATCCTTACTAAATTTGTTTCTTTAAAAAAATATTTTTGAAAAAGTAATATTCTATTTTCATAGAAAAAATAACATCATACAGGTTAAGAATGACATAAAGGTGAGTAAATTATGACATTTTTTACAAGTCTAACATCTATGTATATAACAGCTCAGCAAAGGGGTCTTGTGTTAACGCAGGACTAAGCTTCGGATCGGGCGTCCGGCCAACAGGAAGCTCTCCCAAAGGGTGACGGTGAGTGGGCGGCCATGCACAGCCTGCTTCGAAGGGACAAAATGGAGTTCGTCAGACAGATGGATATAATTCAGTCATTACACGCACGGCCTCCAATTCATTCCACTTGGCTTTCAGAAAAACGTTGAACTTCACCTCGTGACCTCAAAACATCAAGCAGAGCTAGAGCTTCACATTCTTGATCTTAAAAAGGGAAAGGAAAGATGAAAGTCTAGATTGTATACACCGAGCTTCAGAGGAGATTTGGTTCATGAGAAGAAACATAATAACAAGACTGCAGTTTGAAGATGCTCTATGCACTATATGAGCTAGTTTCTTCGGAACAAATAAGCACAGACTACAGTCAAAGATTGCCTGACTTCTGCTTTCAAGGTCAACCTGGTCAGCTCCTTCAGATCCCACATTCACACAGCATAAGCTGTTGGCTGTTGCCTCATTTATCACTTCCTTTTCAAACCAATACACATCAGCCGGGATGCCGGGAAAGCAAAACATCCTGAACTGATCTGAATTAAGACCGTTTCGTGGATTGCTCTGGCTATTCATTACAAATTAAAAAGTAGAACTTCTCTGCCAAGGTTTTATTGACTTGTTACACATGATAATGAAGTCAAAAAGAAAACCGCCGGTACCTGTGGTACAAGGCACATAATCATTTTCCTCAGGTAGAGAGGACAGTTAATTATGACTGACAGCTATGACCTCAGAATATGCCGCATGGCTAATCTAGGCACGTTTGTTCAAGTCTATCCGCTTAAAATGGATCTCCTCGATATTATCCTGATGTAGATGCTTTCCTTTCCTGCAGGAATGTAATCCACACTTCAATATGGTTGGCTTGTATGGTTGATTATAAAAAAGAAATAAAAAAATCAGAGGCAGAGCAACATAAGGCAGTAGGAAGCAGAGAAACACAAACAGTAGAGCGGTTATGCGGTTTTCTGGCAGGGATTTCAGCACCACGGACAGCTCCCGGATAAAGGCCAAACTCTCCAGCCCTGAATCATATCATGGCCTGTTCATAAAAGCACTGTATGCACATATACAACCAATACGGGTGAATGGCATTTATAGGCATTTAATTTGTTTTAATCTATACGAAATGTTACCATTAGCAACTTTTCAATTATATATATATATATATATATATATATATATATATATATATATATACAGTGTGTGTGTATATATATATATATATATATATATATATATATATATATAAAGGCTACAGTAAAACTTAACTAAATAAAAAAATGTATGCTCACACTATATACAGTAGAATATTATAAAAAAGGGTTTTCATAAGTAAAAAGTATGAATTTAAAACCTGTAATTTAAAGAGAAAATCTGCAAGACAATATGTATACTTTTACAGTAAAATATAAAAATACAATAAAAACAATATAACAACAAAAAATACTGTTATGAGTTTAAATTATGCCATATAGGCTATATATATATATTTATATATATATAGTTAAACTGTTACAGGTGACGTGGTTACATTGTACTGAGTAATGTTAATTAACTAGTACTGGTACTTACCACAGAGTTGCGGTTAGGGTTTGGTTTAGGGTAGGTTGCTTGTAATTATGCATAATTTACTGTTATTGCTAGTAAGTACACGTAGTAGTAACGTCTAACTACGTCACCTTAAAATAAAGTGTTACCTTATATATATGCACAAACGAGTCGGACCAATCAGCAAGCAAAGCAGCAACAGCCCGCAATTCTGCCTCCAGTGCCCAACAGTACTTTCTGCACTATAACCCTCATTCTGACCGAGTCTTAGCTGATAACCATCTGAATAACTGTTCATTTTGCCTAGATCAATAATTGTATGAAATAAAACGAACCAAATCATTCCTAAAAACGGATGTGGCATCACATTCGGACTGAATGAATGGAAGAATGAATGAATGAAGAAAAGATTCGACCGCAAAGGTGGAACACTGTGCAGTTGTCAATAGCGCACACATTTATCACACACTCACGCACGAGCGCGCGCGCGCGCGCACACACACACACACACACACTAGAGATAAAGACGGGGTGGAGAGCTCACAGCCGGTGAGAGAACGCTTCTGTGGATACATGTATGAATATATACTGAAATACTATTCAAATTACCTTTTTAATCACCACATTGTCCGTTGTATGTTAAGTGCCCTTAAATGTTAAGGCTATGGCAAGGACGCTATTGTTTTTAAAACACTTAACGTTTATGGCAACCAGGCAACCAGAAACATTTGATGTCAGAAAGACGTCAAAGTGTCCAGTGATGCAAATATCAAAACATGAATGACTTACTTTCTCAATCGGTGAGGTTCAAATCACCGTTCCGTTCGCGTCCAAAGCACGAAAATCAATCCGCAATTCTCAAGGAACGTGGCGCGGTGCGAATGAAATGTTCTTCAGCGTGTACTTTGGACTATCCAAGCTATCCAAGAGCAGTTTTACAAGCTTCTATGAGAAGAAATTCGCTCCCGTATATCCATTCGGTCTTCCTGTCAATGCCATCATATGGTCGAGTGCCTCTAGAGCAAATATCTCGATGCTTTCTTGCCCTGCATCATCAAAATCCGGTGTACCAAGTCTTTTCCTGCTGATAAATCAATTAATTCGTCGTCTCCCTCGTTCTGCGTGTCATTCTTGGCGTTCAGCACTACAGATTTGGGTTTTCACATTCAGCAAATACGCATAGATGGGTTTTATCCCTGAGATGGACCATTCCCTGCATCTTCATCTCAATCTTCAACAGCCCATAAACGCAGACAGCTGATGTTCTTATTCCACAGTCATGGTTTTAAAACGGAACTTTTCTTCCCCCTTTACGCACCCGATCTGATTAGATTTCTACTCACAGCCCAGTGCGGATTTCAAGATGCTTATTTCCTTGAAATGTGATTATGTCCTACGGAATGCCTTGCGAGAGAAAGCCTCATGCGTTGGCAAACGCAAATATTCGTGTATCACATCATATCCAAGAAAGTCAGCATCATCTGGAAAGGAAAAAAAGGACACAATCTTCCGAGTTTCTTTTTCTCTTCAGGAAAGTGGATGAAAATGCGCCAAATGTGAGTCAAATCATCCCTTTCTTAGTTAGTTGATTGGTTAATATAGCCGACTGTCGTAGTTCCTTTTCAGATGCGCATAAACTTGTCAGAGACGAGGTATTCATCAAAAGCTACATCCCGCCAGATACTCAGTACAGTTCACCTCAACTCCGACGAAAAGCAATCCACTGACGCGACGAAAATCCACGCGAATGATCCTGCGCTCCGCGCCGAGCCGTATTACGGTCGGAGAGCAGCTACAAGTGAGTCACTCCGCGAGCAGGAACATCTAAAGAGGTGAGACTCGTCGAATACGTCGAGATCTCTTCGGTGAATGAAGTTCTAGTGTGAAGTACTAGTGTGCTACCCAGACGTGTCCAATGACGCGCGGCTCTCGGTGGGCATCGGCTCAGCGCACTCCGCTGGTGACACCAAGAATCTTCTAACACGTATTGATGTAGCCCTCAGCCCAAAGTCTCACTCTTCTGACTGTCCTCACTGGCGTCTTCTTGGATGCGTAAAAGTCAATGGTCCTATAATCTTTTTCCATCTTACGAATGATTGGTCGAGTGCAATAACCCTGAACGCTATAGATTATATGATGAGGGGGTGTGCGCGCGTTCGGACAGGTCTGTATAGTGCCTGTTTGACGCACACATGTGCGTGTGTGATTGTGTATAGCCTGGGTACTAAGTGTGAGTGTTTGATGCGCTGCTTCTTCCTGTCTAGTGCAGAAGGGACACGACTGCCATCTACCGACTCTCCGTCCCCTGTCTAGACGCCGCACTCTGCCTTACGACCACTTGAGCAACAAGAAAAAAAAAAAAGGAAACCTGGTGCGTGAAAGCAAGCATGTAATTTTCAAACCGTAGATCATAAGCGCGTTCTAGTGACCTGCACACGCCTCCGACGGTTATGAAGTCAGTAATACGCTCACGGTGACTGCAAAACGCACAGATCATGGCAAAACATATAGAAGGATTTTCAATCTCAAAAATAGCTAAAGACGAAGAAAGTTAATTTGGACATGGATGGGAGTGCATTGTAAAAAAAGAAAGAAAGAAAGAAAGAAAGAAAGAAAGAAAGAAAGAAAGAAAGAAAGAAAGAAAGAAAGAAAGAAAGAAAGAAAGAAAGAAAGAAGCACATTTGTTCTTCAGACTTCCTCTTTAAAAGAAAAAAGTAACAGCTGTGTGCAAAGTGACTGACATTTGTTTTTTGACCTCTGAAAATGAGTACAATTTACTCACGGAGCCACATTGAGATCCCATATCTCTGTAATTGAATCGTCTTAAAAATAATGACAGACAAAAGGGAAGTTTGTTAAGAACCAGAATATAAAGGGATAGATAATCTTCTTGAGTTACAGTCATGCAAACTTGGGGGAATTTTTGGGGGAACTGTCACCATTGGTACATAATGCAACAAGAAAGGAAGTCAAATTAATAGACCAACCATAAAATAATGATGCTGCCTTTTTCAAAGTAATTACAAATAGTGGATTTCGCAAAAAAATATTCATCCACGGTATTCAATATTTTGGCTTTCTTCTTCATTTATCAGGCAGGGGATCTGGTTGAGTTGATATACAGACCATACATCCATATATGTTTACTGTCATTTTTTATTCTGTTGCACCACACACTGCTTCAAGAGATTGTAGTTCATACTCTTATAAAACACATTAAATAATAATAATAATAATAACAAAAAATCTATATTTTTTTCTCTTTTGCTTCAGATCAAAAGCTGTAATGTAGTGATTCATCTTAAAAAAGGCTGTGCTAGTGAAAAGCTTAGTACTCATTTAAATCCCTATGAAGAAAATTAATGGGGAAAATACTTCCATTAAAAATGGCCGTTGTGCTCTTTTGCTAGTTGGCATTGGCATCATACTAAAATGCATTTTATAGGACCAAAATTAGGATACACCCCAATGAATATTTTGGTCTGTCTCCCCAAAAGAGAAAGAAAGTCCATTTTAAATGCATATATCTGCTTTTAGGAGCATATACAGGTGACGTCAAAGCGAATAATCTAAAACTCATATTTTTAAGTTATTTTCAAATATATATCAGCCTCAGACCGTTGGCTGAACGTCTAAGCATAAAGCGCACAAAATGGGAAACACTTCGGGAGAGGTGTGTGTCACGTTATCAACGGTCCGCCTGGAAACAAAGCCACAATGAAGCCAAACCCCCTCATGGAAAAAGAAAATGTTAGACAATGAACCTTTATCAGGATCAATATGAAGTTCACAGGACCATTGTTGCAGTAAAATTGCACAAACCTCAAATGAATTGCACGCCGGTCTGATATTGTGGGGACTGACATCGACTTTACATTTTCACACCCCTAAACTGTGACTGGTTGCTTCCGTCGGGCTACGCAAGACTAGAGTACATCATATTTGCATGCAAATAAAAAAAAAGACTTACTTCCAAACTTTTTGTGAGTGAAATTTTAAGAACCTGTTTTCTCATTCCTTTGGCGGAACATGCTTGTCAGCATCCCGTCACATCCTCACGCTTCACGGACATCTCGTCATTTATCTGTCCGCGCGCCTGTCCACCTGTCCGTCAAACGCGGCCAAATCAGCTAAATATGGGTGAAGACCAGCTCCTCCTCTCCTGCTGTCTGATTGAGTCATTCTAATAACTGTTTGACATTAAAGGGCAGGTGTGTTTCTTTGACTGACAGTCCAGTTTCCATCGTGGTCTAGTATTCACACAAGCAAACGCATATGAGGCCCACTTAACAATGGCTTTAACATCATCTAACATTTCTCAATGCATCTCTGAAACATAAATACATTATCTGACAGTTCCCGGTTGAATGATATGCCCACAGCAACGTGATGGCAAGGTAGCCTTGTTATGACAGCCTTATCTAATGGTCCAGATTTAAAGCTTTCATTTTACAGCCCTCCGATGATTCTCCTGCGACCACTACGTTTCACTTAGGATGTTATTTGCTCTGTGGGAACCATCTGAATGACCATAACATCTATCTTAATGCAACCATTCATTTCTCTACGGGGACACCAGAGGAAGAGGTGATTGACGGAACATTTCTATAGCAAAGTGCTTTCAATTTACTCCGAAACAGGTTGAGCTTAGAGAAGAAGCTGAATTAAATTAAAACATGTCGTTACCTCTCACTGGCTGTAATGGTGAAGTAGACAGGATGTCAATGCTTGTCCTTTATGCATGTTAACACACAACAAGACCTTTGCATCCAGTATCACATAAAACAGAGGTTTTCTGTGTTGGGGGGATGGTATAGAATTCACTATAGAATATTTTACAAAAATAAGTTCAATTCCAGTGTCAATTTCACTGTCTTGGTTGTAGAATGCACTCTAATAATTCAAATTAAAATAATTAAACATTAAATAATAGCTACTAAACACATAATGTGGTAAATTCATTCATTTAACATTTACAAAAATACTATAAAATTAAAATACTCATTGTCAGACGAACAACTAGTCTACACTGATACTTAGCTAGTGTTTGATTCACTAAAAAGAACAGGCTCATAAGAATCATTTGCTCGGGAATCGATCGGACTATACTGGGATTGATTCACTAAAAAGAGTCAGTTCTTAAGAGTCATTAGTTCAGGGATGCAATCTAATAATTATACATTAAATAATAGCTACTAAACAAATACAAATGTGGTAAGGTATCAAATTAACGTAACATTTACAACAACAAAAAACCTACAAAATTCACAATTTGTATTTTTAACTATTGTCAGATGAACAACTCTGCAAATACACTGATTTCACTGGCTTGTGTTTGATTCACTAAAATGGCTCATGAATCATTCACTCGTCACTGCACTGGTCACGCTGTATGTGTTTGAATCACTACAAAGAATCCAGTCATTCATTTCAATAGGAATCGACAAGATTGGGCGTTTCGCAAAAAAGTCCCCCACAATACTTCTTCAGCATATTTATCTTGGATAAAGTTAATTTCAACATATACAACATTTGATTAAAATAATGTATTTGTAATTGTTAACATTAGTTAACGCACTGTGAACTAACAATAAACAGTTGTATTTTTGTCAGCATCCATCCAATGTTAAAGGGGTCATATAATGGTACATGCACTTTTACAAGTTGATTGTACTGAAATGTGTGTTGGCAGTGCCTGTACACAACCATCATATAATGATAAAAATCCATCCAGTGTTTTTTTTTTAATCTCCTTATGTTTTCCCCTGTCTCAAATCAAGCCGTTCGACCTTGTGACGTCACACGCTCGGAAGCCCCTCCCACGATTGTTGATTGACAGCAACGTTTCAACACAGACCCGCCCTCGCTCGTGAGCCAGCTGTCAATCATAGTCTGCGCGGACCGGCGCGGTCATTGTTGATATGCTGGAGCACTGTCTATGAGCAGAATGGCGTCTAAGCGATTGTGGTGTTCTGTTCTTGGGTGTAATAAGGAACACAGCAGTCATTTTGATGTTCCTAAATCCGAACCGCTGAAGACGCAGTGGCTGAGTTTGTTTTCGAAGGGAATATTCCCCACGATCAACGTCAATGCTTTCATGTTTGCGCGAATCATTTCTCACCAGACTGCTTTATTTTATAAACGAGGAGGGTCAGTATAAAGCTGGTTTTGCTAAGAAGCTGCTCATGAAAAAAGGATCGGTACCAGATATTCGTGTTCCTGCTGAACCTCTAGAACAAATGAAGTGAGTGTAACGTTTTATTAAACTTTATATTAATATTTATATTAATCTTTGCCAATCGCTAGCTGCACGTTTCACAATGAATGCGTCTAAGGTTTACACTTAGGGTACATTACGGCATGTTTTCTATGTATGATGTTCTCAATATAATTCATAATCCCACGTTTATACTGAACAACGCGTTATGTTTATTGTGTTATTGTGTTCAAACGGTGTACACACAGAACAGAGGGGCGGGGTGAGCAAAGCTCATTATCATTTAAAGTCATATGCACTGAAACGGCGTGCTGAAAACAGAGCTGTTTTTGACCAGGTAAAATAAGTGTTTTCTTACAATACTAATGAGAATTTGTAATTAAAGTATATTACAAACTTTTAATTTAGACCCTAAAGAATCATACTAGCTTGTACAAAAATGGCATTATATGACCCCTTTAACAAAGATAAATCAATACTTGTACAAATGTATTTCTCGGTTAAATTAATGTTAGTTAATACATTAACTAATGTTAACAAATGAGACCTTATAGTAAAGTTTCACCTTATTTGTTATTTATATGTAAAGCTCTACTTTTTGTTATATTACCCCGTCAAAAAAACACTGCTGCAATATTTGCTACGGTCTTCCATGTACTTCTTAAG